TGTCAGTAAAACTGGCCTCTGGTCTGGTCACCAGAGATGTCAATTTAGGTTGTAACTTGGGTAGTCACAAAGCAAGCATCTCGGTTGTTTTTTTGCAACTGAGGTGAGTAGCCATACCCAGAGATGCTTTCCAATCAAAGCAAACCAAACCTAACCAAACCTGACCTTACATTACCTATGACCTAAAACCTACAACCTACAACCTAAAACCTAAAACCTACAACCTACAACCTAAAACCTACAACCCAAAAGCTGCCCCCCAAAACCTAAAACCTTAAACCTTTAACCTACAACCTAACCTACAGTGCCTTTCTTTGGTTGCAAAAAACAAGTTTGATGCCTGTTTTAGTACTATTGTAACTTTTAGGTAAGTTTGTAGGTTGCAGGTAGTGGGTGTTAAGTTGTAGGTTCTAGGTTGTTGTATGTTATAGTTTGTAGGTTGTATGTTAGGTTAGGTCAGGTTACATTAGGTTAGGTTAGTTTTGGTTTGGTTGGTTTGGTTTGGTTAGAAAGAAGCATCTCTGGGTATAACTATAGCTCCTCTCCTTAGTTGCAAAAACAAGTGTGCAGCCTGCTTTAAGACTACCCAAAGAAGAAACCCAAAATTTGTAGATGTTGTCAGCATTATAAAACTTTTTTGGGTCTTTAAGTCTCTCCAGTCGGCAGTCACACTTTATAGGTATTCATAAGACATCATCAAAGTGCCTGAAGGCACTAGCAGACAGGAGGCTTGGACACTGGGGATTGGAGAACTTCCCCAATCCCATACCCCAAAATAGTTCCTCATGATTGTAAAAGCTCATCAGCTTTGATTCCTTATGCACTACTGAGCAATTGAAAACAAACTTTTATTAATATAAATTGTTTAGTTCTCATGTTTTTGCAAAAAAATTGATATTGTCAATTTTGGGCATTGCACCAAATAACCCTTTCCCCAATCAGCAGGTGGCTGAAGGAAAATTAAGTTCATGAGCACTGACCTGAGTGACTACCAAACATGCTACCTACAATTATCAGGCCAGTTTAACTAGCAGAGAAAATGCACATGCAGGTTTTTTTGCCTTCAGTGACTGTGAGATTAGTCCTGCGGCTGCGACAAAAAAATAAAATAAATAACCACTGATGTTAAACCCATTATCAAACAGCCCAACTCATATATTTTGCATTATTAAATAGTACCTAGTTATTCATAGCATTGATGACTTTGGTTATACTTTTGGAATATTTTAAATACTAGGAGCTGTTAATTTTTTATGTTTGTACAACAGTTCTCAGGTCAAAAAAGGTTTTACAATGTGCCTACATGCTGCAATGGAGAAGGCAACAGCATTTCAACAAGTTGCACTTTATGATACTGATGCAATGATCAATTATACCTAATTTCATAATAATCTAGCAAGTGTAAGAGATGGTGATTTAGAAAACGAATGTAGATTGTATGTCTTTGCTGCATGCACCTGCATAATGCAATGCATTATATTCTGTGCATACTTTGATCATTTGATGATCATTTTTACAAGTTGCATTGTCAAGCAGTCTGAGCATATTGATAAGTGTAAACTGGGAAGGAATTCAGAGATATGCGGGAAGATGGTTATGGTAGTGTCAACAGTAGAAGTCTAGAAACGTCAAACAGCTTACCTTCTAGAGAGATCAATCCTAATTAGCTTGACTTAAAAAAAGATGAGTTAGCCTACAGCAAAGCAATGTGAATAAACCTACCTTGCATTGCATTTTGTGATCATATTAATCTGTAACCTCAGTAAACCTATGTTGCCTTGCTGGGCCCAGTTGGCAATATGTTGCTGCATTCAATTGGTGACAAGTGTTACCGTAAAATAGGGTGTTAAGGGACAGTGGGGTGCTAAGGGACAGTTGCATAGGAAAAAATTTGAGTCATATTAACTTCCAAATTTGAAAAGGTTCAATAAAAACTTCAGTGTGGTACCTAGTTGACACTGTTTTGTTCTTGACCATAGGAGAAAATGGTATGGTTTTTGATGCAAGTGATTTGGTTCAAAAATGGATTTGAAAATCATGCTACATTTTCACAAAATTGAAACATCTCCAAAACTCTGTGTGTACCACATAAACTAGTGGGTGTACAGGGAAAATGAATGCATAGGTGTATTGTCACATGTATTGCACATGTTTCCTGAAAAACTTGTGCAAATCCACCCATTCATTCATCATCCTCTTCCTCTTTTCCAGATACATGCATATTTTGAGGCCGATGTGGGGTGCTAAGGGACAGGGAAGAAAAATAAAAAATAATATCTAAACATAATTTCATTAAGTTTTCCTTCAGTAGGCATGGGAAACACCAAATTCCACATAAAATGCTGGCAAGTTCATGCTTTTATTGCATCACATCTTAAGATATGTAACAAAACATCTCAACACTCTCTTTTACAATGATGGGTCAATGGACTGGAGACTGATGTAGGTAGGTAAATGTTATGTCATCATAAAAAGGCTAAAATAAAGAGGGCAACATAATGACAAGTGACTAGCTTAAAAATGGGTTTTTATTGATGACAGAATGGTACTTTTTGGTTCTGTTTACCTTATAATAAGCACATTTTCCAGAAGCGTAAACTGCATTACACGTTATTGGTTATTGGCCATTAGTGGTGAATGAACCTGACTTGTTTGTGACAGAATATGCAAAACATTTCAATAAATAAATTGTGTGCCCTTCCACACCCCAATTGTGGGCATTTGATGACCATTGCTTGGAATAATATAGGTGTCCCTTAACACCCCACATTGGGGTGCTAAGGGACAGTGATGAAAAATAATAAAAAATAATGTGCAGGTATAAATCTAAAAACTTTAATGTGGCAGGCATGTAAAGCACCAAATTCCACATAAAATGCTGACAATTTGATGCTTCTATCTCCAACCCTTCTTGAGTTATATAACAAAACACCTCAAAACTGTCCCTTAACACCCCGTTTTACGGTATACTATATGCTATTCAGCGCATAATTTTACATTGACATACCTGACATACTGACTCATAATATCGGAGAGGGCAATTTTTATGTTTTATGGAACATGCCCACTCAATTTAATTTAATGTGCCTATTGAGGTCATAATGGTAGCCCTTGCATTATTTTGAAACAAACTTGTCTTTTTTAGGCGACACAAAGGAATAATCATGAGTGACGGAGCTGAGAAAATGGTGAGTTTTAAAGTTTTGCTGATTACTAACGTTTTACATTTTACAGCACTTTTTTCACTGCTAAATTAAAAATGGTTGAATTTCAGTACAAATAGATGTTACTTGACTCAATCCTCTTGGGTTTGGTGTGGCCTTTTCAGTTGATTGGCCAGCTGGCATTTTCTAACCATGGGGGCCAAATAGCCTAGCAAAATACTGAACAGTCATTGTTCCATCGGTTTCCAAACAGCATGTGCTTTCTATATATTGTGTTCCACCTCCCTGAGCTGCGCCGCTGTCTGCCAGGACGAGGACCCGCAGTACGGCGGCTGCGAGGGCCCGGACGCCACCTACGTCAAACTGCGCTCCTCCGACAATCACGAGTTCATCGTGAAGCGCGAGCACGCGCTCACCTCGGGCACTATCAGGAACATGCTCAGTGGACCCGGGCAGTTCAAAGAGAACGAAACCAACGAGGTCACCTTCAAGGAGATCCCGTAAGTGTCAACGTGTAATGTGTATTGGTTATGAAGTTTCGACAAATCTTTCGACGAAATTCTGGTCAAAGTTCGATATCAATTTTCCACACCGCTGTACAACGCAAGTGTATTACGCAAAGTGCCCAGCTTTGTACACAGAGTGGGTTTTGAAAGCCTTACAACTTCCACCTGTTTTACTGTGTTTAACGATTTGTATTACTATTGTTTTACTATGTTTGATCAAGGTATTAAAATGTGTAGAGGTGTTTCAAAAATCATCCAAGTGTAATTTCGTGGTATTATTCCACATTCCACATCACTGCCTCCGTAGGGTTTATTGCCGTGCATCCGGTACTCCTGCTGATACAGAGCAACCTTTTCAGGTCGCACGTGCTTCAGATGGTCTGCATGTACTTCACGTACAAGGTACGTTACACCAACAGCTCCACAGAGATCCCCGACTTCCAGATCGACCCCAAGGTAGCGCTGGAGTTGCTGATGGCTGCCAACTTCCTCTACTGCTAGGTCCGGCGCGTGTGGGCGTACTTACCTCGGGGGCGCGACTTCGGGACGCCGGGGAGTGGGGACAGCCGCCCGCGGGGTCCCACTGGGTGAGGGATATTCCCGGGCCGGTGAGCCGCACCGGTGGGTGTCCGGCCGTGACAGGTCTGCTGAATCGTGTGATGCGATGCGTGATTGGCTATAGAGATGGTGCCGTGAACGAGTCCGCGCTAGGTCGTGTTTGAGATGCCCGTGTAGAGAAGTAGTTGGTTGTGTTTATAGCTCGTTGATAAAACACGTGCACCGTTGAGGACTCCGTGGTGTTTGTCCTCAATGTCTGGGTTTCTTGGTTGTAGTGGTCGTGTTTATGGTACTTCATATTTTGATGCATAGGTCGCGCTCTGACTTTCCATATTTGGTGACTCGTGGTCTTGTCCGCAAAATTCTGGCGCTGATAATTTCTTCTTGGCATTAGCCTTACCACCAATACGCTTTCATAGGACCTCGAACATAGGAACGAGTGTTTAGGTGTTCGGCGCGTTTCACACGATATGCCAACTGCACGCCGAATGCTTATTTACCTAACTGAAAATAAAGTAATATCGTTTGATTCCTTTTGTGTCGATGTGGGTAAATAGGCGGTACAGACCGAGATATTGACCTTATCAAAATCCATTACCGTCGTGTTAAGAAGTTTCTTTGTTGAATGATTTTCTTCGGAGGGAGACCATAAGGCCGATGTGGCTATTGACTGCCGATTAGTCTTACATTTGTCGGTGCTGATCCGATTGCGACAACTTCAAACGTTACATACCGCGTCAGCTAGACATAGCTCCGTCCTTATGTCACCACATTTGATTCATTGGGTGATGTATTCCGATTCTTAACCTTAGGTGATAACAGAGGATAGAGTGTAATCGATCGCATTCACAGGTCATCTCAACATCAGCTGGCACGCCCCGAAATGTCGAGGCAGTATGTAACAAAAACACTGATTTGGCAGTAGATGGTACAGCTGCCATCGGGTGAGTTGGGCGTTGTTCCATGTAAGCTGTCCGGAACTACGGACGAGTGTCATGAGTTGACTCACGTCATCGGACGCGACGGATCGTCTGTGTTCAATCTATCTTGGGATCAGGTATCCCTATTTTTTCGAACACGAGTTGACCTGCCTCAATTAGAGGCGTTGTTTATCTACGAACAATACTTTAAGCTCTTACTCGTAGTCAATCACTTGCGTAATACGGATATCTTATATTTCACCGTCCTTATTCGCATGCTGAGATCCCGTGGCGCCACATTGACTCGCCATAAAGCTGGACACTCAAGCTTGTAAATACTCAAGGCGGCTCGTACACGGTACGTTGAAGGCTCGCACAAACGACACATTTGACAATACAACCAGTTGCTTAGTTATAGTATCATGACGACTAGTCATTCAGTTAACGTAATGCTGAACTTCGCGAGCCTTTCCTCCTGGCTCATCATTCAGCAACATTGGCCTTCTTCCTCTCGGCTTCACTGCGGTCTCGGTCACGCAGCAGTCTCGCGACGGTTCTTTTTCAGCGGCTGGCATCCGTCGCAGTACTTCGGTGCTCTGTTCCGGTACACCCCATTCGGGCCTCCCTGAGGCAGTCCATCTGTGTCCAGAACTGGCGGCTCCTGGCACTGGAACACACCTCGGCCGACCCTCCCGACTCGAGGCCGGTCGTCGGAGCGCGGGCTCAGGGCGCTCAGAGACCGGCCCCCTCCGGATGCCACAGGTCCCGATCGTGCATAATGTTCCGTCTCTGCATAATGTTCCATCTCTGTGGTCTATCGAGGCGGAAGCACTAATACACTGTCCATAATCCGAAGCAGTTACCGGGTCTTAGGTTCGTCTTTCACGCTCGGTGGTGATTGAAAACTCGATGTCTCATGCTCGTGCTCACTCAATGCCACTGGAACAGCTGTAAAGGCGGTAGATGACGCCAGAATAGCTATTTTGGCGGCCATCAAACAGGTCACCGCTGCAGATGTGGGTGTTGGTTATCCGCTGCGAACAGAGCTGCCCGCTCAGAATGAGGTTGGTATTGGCTGATGTTTTCCGACAGGCTCGGGACGGTCCGTCGGAGCTCAGAGCCGGGTCTGATACCACCTCTGACCGGCTCAGTGGGCCTTCCCGTGCCGCAGAGCCGCCACGCTGTGACTCCTGCCGATCAGACGGAGATGAGTCACGTTGAGTGAGTGAGCGGGAGGTCACGAAGGAAGTGATCTTTCCGTCCTTCTACTTCTAGTATATCTATCACAGATGGCATGAAATTCCACAACCTCGAAGGGAAATAGGGCGTGATTACTGAGAGGTTCACGATTGAGAGGTTCACGATTTCACTGCCTGCATTTCAGATTTCGGTAAGGGCTACAGCCTACAATGCTTATTTCTGACCCCAATTATGCATGTAGATCCGCACCGTGTTTTATTCTGATTAGAGGTGGCAAAAGATGAAAATTTTGGGAACCAGACTCGAACCAGACCCGGCTAGACATTTCTGGAACCAGTCAGACCCGGTCTTAGTTGGAATCGGAACCAGTTGGACCCGTTCCCCAAAAGTCAATTAATACAAACTACTTGTAGGTATCATTAGCTGCATCAAGTAAAACAGCCTATTTCCCACTGGGAATACTCACGAGCTATTGTGTGCAAAGAAACATTCACTTCATTCACTTCATATTTTGCAATAATGTGTAGTGTGCAATATGTATAGTTTATAGAAGGACCCGATTGGACCCGTCAGAAAATTTCCAGGAACCGGTCTGGACCCATATGGGTCCAGACTGGTTCTTTGGACCGGGTCCTCGGGTCCACATTTTGCCACCTCTAATTCTGATCCAGTCCTACTCGTGGATATTCACGTTGCGGTACCTCAAGTGCTCCTTGAAGATCGATCGAGAGAACTCTGAGGCACATCCAGTCATGTCCCCCCCCCCCATCCGTGGCCTCTCAGCCCTACCTGTAGATCTCCACGCCGTCGTGGTGCGCGGGGTGGTGTGCGCGCGCGCCCTGTGAGCCGCGGCCCGGCACCGGGACGGGCCCGTGGCGCGGCGACCCGGCGCCGTCCGTCTCCTCCGAGATGTCCGGCAGCGGCGCCCACGGCTCGTCCGGCTGGAACGCTGGCAGCGCGACGGAGAGGGAGGTCAGGGGGCGGCCTGTCTTGGACTGGCACAGCTGCTGCTAGTGTAGCTGGGTCCGGACTCATTGAACCTTGTGAAGTGCCTACTTCTTATATGGTGCGATTGTAACATTTGGCTCATATCATTGACCTGACAAGATTTGGACAGACATTTCCGTTTTGGCTTCAGCTTTCGGGGTCATGAAATCGGATCACTGCATCATATACTTTGTTAGGGCTTCGATTATTGTTGAGCAATTTATAAATGATACCAGAAGTTCGGTTCATGTACCTATTTATTGAAGACGAAAGTTTGAAACTGGACCCGTCGTACTCATACTGACCCAGATTGACCCTGCCGCGGAGACTGCTGGAGCTGGTCTGTGTGTCGCTCGAGAAGCCCCTGGTCAGTGACGGCAGACCCTTCCTGCTGGCCGACCGAGCCGACACCTTGCAGCTGCCCGAGCCCGATGACGAGCTGCTCCTCTCACTGTGGACACGGCGGAGCGGTCAGACTGACCGGGGCAGCATCGACAGACAGCGGCGGGGCCAACGGGGAAGTCATTAGGTCACTGGGAAGTCGGCGATCGAGAGATATCTCTCTAACGAGCAGTGAGCGGAAGCTGTATGAAATGTAGCGGTATCGAATAGGTTCTACAGCAAATCGTCAGTTGTTATCGGAGATACTCCAATCAGAGTTCTCAGGATAGTAAACTATGTCCGTTTATTGACTGTTGGGTGACTCAAGATAATTTCCAATTGACCAGACCGTGGCCAGTCAGTAACTATTCAGGTCGGTTGGGAAGTCAGGTAGGAAGCTGTTGACGGCTGACTCGATGTTACTCTTGACTGACCTGGCCATAGTCAGGTGGGAAACTATCGACTGCTGGGTGACTCGAGGTTACTCCTGACTGACCTGGCCGGTGACGAGTCGGGCGACTCGCTGTTGGCCGGTGAGGCCGAGTTGGACAGCGTCGTGACGCACGTGTCGTGTGACATTCGTGACTGCCGGTACTCCTGCTTCTTTCTCTCGGCAATCTGAAACGACGGAAAACGTTATCGACAGTCTGCGTTGGCTCGACTTCGGGGTTCCGATATTCGGTTCTGCGATACGACCCGGAACACCGCAACGAAGCCCAGCTTTGCAAATCCAAGGTGCGTTGGCGTTTGGCCTAGTGACCGTCGTATCATTTCGCCGCCAAAGTTCGCTCCATAAGCTTGTGATTGAATTCAGACATCGTTTGAATTACGATAATCAATTCAATAGTTCGTAGATCAAGGGAAACAATCTGAATTGGCTACCTCTGTACTTTGAACCCATCAGCTGAAAACTCACCTGACTACCATTTGGTGTCTGAACTCGCCTTCATTGAGGACTGAACTCCCACCATCTGATGGCTGAACTTACCACCATCTGGCCGTACACGCTGTTCATCATGGTGCTGCGCTTGGCCGTGCTGAACCGGCCCAGCAGAATCTGTCGCGTCTTCTCCCGCAGGACGCAGTGGAAGATGAAGATCAGCAGGCCCTGTCGGCAGGCGGAACAGATATCTTTCAGAACATATGTGGAAACTGATGCTTATGGGACCTGTCCCATGTCTTCCCAGTCGTCAACTTATTGAATCGCAGTAGCTTTATAACAATGGACAGCGATTGGCAGTCAGTATTACCTGGAGCTGTCCGTTTCCGCTCGGTCTTTTCAGCTTGTCAGCAGGTGCCCACTCAGATCCCTTCACCCACTGTGTTTCACCACTTCTCCTCCCGACACTAGCGGTGCTGGCACTGCACGCACTCCACGTTCCACACACACCGCCGTTCCGACATGCACTCACACCGGGGCCGCACTGCACACACTGACGGCGCGGTTCTCCGCCGCACGTGAGGCGGCGCGACGTTTGGAGGTCACTCCCCCTGGCCTGTGACGCAATTCAGCCCGGATGGGCGGCCGGCGGGGCGGGGCGGAACTGCGCTTCTCTCCGTTTGGCGCCTGGGTCCGGTGGGACCTGGGTTTCCCTGTATAGTCTCTCTTGAAAGTATCGCGTCCTGGGCTGCGGCGGCTCAGCGAACTATTCCATTCAGTTTGAGGACCCCAGCAGTGAGGTCATGGCCTGTATCATAAAAAGTACGCTGTAACACGATTTTACGCCAGCGGTAGAAGGAAAACTGCTATATGACGCAGGCACCAGCGGCCGACAACTGGGTCAAAACAGGTGGAGGTCGGCCGAAGGTCATGCTCGTATCGCTCTCCCTTGACCCCGTCCCCCGCCCCAGGCGGATACCGGTGCCTCTTGGGCTCACTAGCCGGGCGCTCATTGGTCTGCCTTAGTGGGCGCCAATCAATCAGTGTGCGTGACGCGTAAAATCACAACGAAGAAAAGTTCCGCCATAACCCTACTGTGATGAGGCCTTCTGAATGACGTAAACACTAAACCCCAGGTCATGGGGGGGGGGGGTTTGGCATCAAATAATCTTTTAAAAAGAACGCGGCTGAACAGCATTCTTTTCTTTTTGTCGCCGTTCACTAACCGGCTAAAAAAAGAGAACTACAAATCTAGGACTAAATGGCTCGAGAGCGAATTGGCAAATTGGCTAGAGAGAGAATTTCGCGGGTGCATGTGCAAGCACGGATGCATTCTGTTAGCGGGTGCAACTGATGATTTTTTGGGTATTTGGGCAGGGGTTTCCAGATTTTACCAAAAAAGGCCAATCGTGCCGATGACTGGTCAAATTGCTAACTTTGCAATGAAACAAATCTCAACAAATCCTCTGCGAGTAGGGTGGCTTCCATTGACCACATGCTTACTGCCAAGTGCCATCACAAGTTACCGGATGGCGACTGCCACCTCCCCCTATCCCTCCGTAGTCCGCAACCACTCCCCTCGGCCCGGCCCGCTGCGCTGGCTGCCTCCGCGTGTCAGGCTTCGGTCAGTGCTACCAGCGGCTCTCAAACTTTTCCGCTCAACCGCGGCTGGGACAGGTGGCGCCTTCCCTCAGAGTCGCGATACTTTCAAGAGAGACTATACCACACTAGAGAGATCCGAGACGCCGCGCCGGTCTGCCGCGCGCGGTGTGAACTGACACAGTGACAGCGGCGCGCAGCTGTCTCGACGCAGTCGGCGGCGATATCGCTCAGTTCTGGCCCGCCAGCGCAATGTATCTTATCTGAAGTCGTAAAAGCGGAAAGTGAAATGAGGCCACAAATGGCGTTACTCTCGAATTGCAGTGTGGCTCCGATTGCACGCGCAGATAGCGAGGTACTTAGGGGGCCGACGGAACTCCGAAAGTATCTCTTGTCGTCGGGATAAGAACGGGTGCTTCTGTTGACTGCACTTTGGATGCCCGTGGGCTCATAGCCGGCGGCAAACGGTTGAAGGGCTATGGTTGAAACTTGAAAACTGCAAGTGAATGACTGCGTTTGACTCATATCCTGGATTGAAAGCGAGTATCGGGTATCGGTGCCTTTCCTTTTTTTTAGTTGATGGTATTTAAAGGCTCAAGGTTGATACCGTTCATAAGATATCAAAGACGTTTTTCTCCTCAGCCGTTTGGATAACCTGGCCATTTATTCTCATTGCTAGAAGCCCTCTTCATATAATTTGCATTCCGTATGGAAGCTACAGTGCCAGTTCATACCTGTGGGCGCTGCACCAGCGCCCCCTCGACTGCTTACGGGCGCTTCACCAGCGCCACACTAGACTGCTGCTGAGTCGGCGTTTGTATTTACTCGCGGTAGATGTCGCGACCAGTAACTATGCGTATGTTCCCACGGCCGCTTATATACTTTCTAATTCATTTACGAATTCATAGTGTCACCATTTATTGTTGTATATTAATTTATTTCATATGTAAATCGAAGAAGTGTTTTTATCTCGCAAACCAGCTTTCTCTTGTATTTCAGGAATGTTTTATATGATCGCCCAACTCGGTGCTCGCTCTCGGCGTCTTCCTCTATTCGGTGACGGCTGTGCACCTCGTGCGTGAAAAGAATACAAATATTCAGCGGCCCGAAGGACATTTAACAGCGAGCACGCGAACGAACTTAAATCGTAGCGACAGACACTCTATTCCGCTACAGTGGTGACCCGACGTGTGATAAGTGCGCTATCAGTGACAAAAGGTGAATCGCCGCGCGCCATTATGCCCGACGAGAACGGCCCAACAGACGCGTCCGCGGCCGGAGCCGCCGCCGCTCCACCGCCACCAGCACCAGCGCTGGCCACGGCCAGCCGGCCGGTCGCCTCCCTGCGGCTGCCACCATTCTCCATGGAGGAGACAGAGCTGTGGTTGTCGCAGGTCGAGTGTGCGCTGGGAGTGGCCGGCATCACAGACGACCTGACCCGCTACCAGGTGCTGGTGGTGAACCTCCCCACCGAGGTCGCCATCCAAGTGCGAGATGTAATCAGCAGCCCGTCGCCCTCCTACACGGCCCTCACCACCGCCCTGCGAGACCGTCTGGCCCAGTCACGAGCATCAAGACTGGAGGCGCTCCTCCGCCACCAGCAGCTGGGAGACCAGCGGCCGTCCGAGCTCCTACGCCGCATGCAAGGGGAGCTGGCCATGGCAGGGGTAGCTCCTGCTGACAATGGGCTACTGAGGACGCTGTATAAGCAGCGCCTCCCCCAGTCAGCCCGTGCCGCGCTCTCCCTGCTGCCAGAAGATATCCCGCTTGCTGACCTGGCTAGTGCAGCAGACAGATTTATGGAGGCAAATGCTGCTGCCGCTCCAGCGCCCAGCGTCTGCACGGTTCAGCAGCCCCAGCTCCCTGTGCCCAACCAGTCAGCTCTGGACCAGCTGACAGCATCAGTCGCTGCCCTCACAGCTGCAGTCGGCCAGATGAGAACCGACATGGAGGCCATGCGGCATGACCGGCGGCACCACAGAGGCCGCTCCAACAGCCGTCAATTCAGGACGAGGTCGCCATCAGCCCAGAGACCCCGCCAACAGAGTCAACTCTGCTACTTCCACCAGCGGTTCGGGGCAGCAGCACGTAAGTGTGCAGAGCCATGCTCGTGGACACCAGCCCAGCAGGGAAACGGCCAGGCCTGAAGGGAGCAGCGCCTGATCCCTCGGGCCGGCCACAACTGGCGCGCCTCCTCCATGTGAGCGACGGCTCGCTCACCCTGATGGTCGACACAGGCGCCCAGGTGAGCATCCTGCCGCCAGCCAGTGTTCCTGCCAGCTCCAGCCTGGAACCGGCTACAGGACCCAGCCTCAGAGCTGCCAACGGGTCTTCCATCACCACACATGGCCAGGCCAGGATCCAGCTGGAGCTGGGGGGACACAAGTTCCCCTGGACATTCATCGTAGCAGACACCACCACAGCCATCTTGGGGGCCGACTTCCTGCAGCACCACCAGCTGTCCATCGATATGGCAGCTGGCACTCTGCGCCTGCCTTCTGGAGCTGTGGTGGCATCGGCAGCCAGTCAACCAGCTGAGACACCAGCAGGCATCCAGGGCCTTCGCCTGGTCCAACCGCAACTGGAGGACCTCTGGAAAGCCTTCCCAGACATCACCACTCCTCCTGCAGGCCCAGCAAAGGTCCGCCACACTACCCGGCACCACATTCAGACCACAGGGCCGCCACAAGTGTCCAGGCCCCGCAGACTGGCCCAGGACAAGCTGACTGCGGCCAAAGCTGAGGTAGCTAAGCTCCTGGCTGACGGCACCTTCAGACCCTCCAAGTCCAGCTGGGCAGCACCTATTCACATGGAGCCGAAGGACCAGCCTGGTCAGTACCGTCTGTGCGGAGACTACAGACGCCTTAACAAGGTAACAATTCCTGACCGCTATCCTCTTCCTCACCTCCAGGACTTCTCTTCCAACCTCCATGGCTGCACCATCTTCTCCAAGCTGGACCTCAAGCGCGCCTTCCATCAAATTCCTGTCGAACCATCCGATATCCCCAAAACAGCCCTCACTACTCCATTCGGCCTCTATGAAGCACAAATGATGCCGTTCGGTCTCAGGAACGCTGCCCAGACCTGCCAACGCCTGATGGATGAGATATTCCGGGACCTGACTGGCTGCTTTGCCTATGTGGACGATATCCTGGTCGCCAGCGAGACTGCATCTCTCCACCAAGAGCACCTCCACGCAGTCTTCTCACGCCTCTCCCAGTACGGCATCAAGGTCAACAGGTCCAAGTGTCTGCTTGGAGTGGCTGAGCTCGACTTCCTCGGCCACCACGTCTCTGCAGCTGGCATCTCGCCCCGCCCCACCAAAGTCAGAGAGATCACCAACTTCCCCACTCCCCAGACTGAGAAGCAGCTGAGGAAGTACATTGGCATGGTGACTTTCTACCATCGCTTCCTGCGTCGAGCAGCTGACCACCTGCAGCCACTGTACAGCCTGCTCACTCTCAAGTCCACCTCACGACAGGACCGCCCCCTGGTGTGGACGGAGGAGGCCTCCAAGGCCTTCCAGCAGAGCAAGGATGCGGTCTCCTCTGCTGTACTGCTCACCCACCAAGTGCCCAGCGCGCCTATCAGCATCCAGGCGGACGCCTCAGACACAGGCGTGGGAGCTG